CTAGGTGGCGCTGTTTAGTTTAGTACCGGGTATCTAATAGTCGAGGCACTCTACCTTGTTTCATAATAATAATTTTTAAATATATTTATATTAAATATATATAATTTTTAATATAAATAAATTTTAATATTAAACAAGCTCAAGCAACACAAATAGTGCGAAATTAAATGAACATCCAATAAAGTTCAATGTTAAGTGGTTCTCGGCATCTTTAAAAGGAAAAACAGGGATAATTAAAAGAATCAACTTTATTAAAGATTTTAAATTTTTCTCTCCTTCCCAAAGTATAAAAGATTCCTGCAACTCGGCAATTTAACTTTCTCTGCTTAGTATTTACCTGTGGACGAAGGGGTCCCTTTTGATTAGTATGCGTCAAACCACTTTTCCCATCGCCAAGTCTAGTGACTTTGAAATTAATTGAATATTTACTCACAAAATTGGTTTTGGCTCTCAGGGGGAACCATAAAGGTTTTTTATTTCAGCAAATACTCTGGCGCTGGCATCTTAAAACTTGGCCAAAACCTCAGCACGTAATTCAAGTTGAAATTTGATCCATGGCCGGATGCTGAAACTCGGCAAGGACTTAACCTGAATGAAATTTGATTTGTCCAAGATTCCCCAATTACACAACTCGCTGGGGAATTGCCTGGAACATTGTTAACCGGCAATTTGGGGGCCATAAATGTGACAAGTTGCTATATATATTTGTAGACACAAAATCAAGTGCCAAATTGGGGAATTTGATTCATTTGTCATTTATTTAAATTCTCCACAATTTGCCAGCTAATTTTATTGTCACACACGAATGTGGGCCATATTCCGGTTGCTATTGGCATTGGGTCGATTGTTATGTCTGACAGCGACAAATGTCAGAATGCCAAATCACGGAGCATATACCGAAAAATAAGGGAAAAAATGCTGAAGGCAAACAATTTGTTTTATTTGCATTTCACACATTCCCATGCGATACCGGCCGAGAGCCTAAAAATATGCTTTCCCATAAACGCCTGTTGTTGCTGTTGGCCGAAAAAGGAAAAGTGCCGCGTATGCAAACACACATATGTTTGGAAAACAAAAGAGCAGAGGCAAAGGAAAGCGTTGAAAAATACTTTTTTGCCTAGCCATTTTAATCCACTTTTCAAAATTTATTATGCAGAAACGTTCGAAAATTTCCCGCCAAACTTTTCCACTAAAAAGGGACCGAAAATCGTCTCTTTTGGGTTTTTCCGATTTCTGTTTTTTTTTTTGGGGGGAGCAGCGGCGGCAGACTAGAGAGCTGTCCACATGTTTTGGGGGTCATAAATCTGCAATTACCAGTCATGCCGGTCCAGCACCATTGTCCTGCAATGGCCAACGCATTTCGCAGGACGCCGCCAACTTGCCGGGCCGAAAAGTTGAAATATTCGCTTGATGAATCGCTTTTTGCCATCGGTATGATTTTCGAATTAAATCCGCAACTTAAAGCGGCACCGATGTGACATCTAAATTATGCTTAGAGTCTCTGTTTGCCTGCAATTTGATTGGAGGGTCCCGGGTTCCCTCCGGGAAAGTTACCCAGTTAGTTTGCCGGCCGGGGCCGAAAAATAAATAAACAAAACAAAACAGTTGAAAAGAAGAAACTTGAAGTTGACTAGTTTCCCTGGCCTCTCGGGCACTTTTCCCCTGCTGCCCTCCTGTCTTTATTTCGTCATGGGTTTTCTTTCTCTCTCTCTCTGTCTCCATCTCCATCTCCATCTCTGTCTCTGTCTCTGTTTTTTTATTTTTTTAGCCGGTAATTTTTGCCATTTTCTTGGCCGAGTCCTGGCTGCTCGACTAACTTGTATGCGTTCATGCTTGGCAGCCAATTCAAGTCGTGTCATTTTGTTGAGTTTGTGTTGAGAGTTCGTTGAGATACCCATACCCCGTATATCTGGCATTTTCATACCCAACTCCTCATTTCCACAGCTTTCACCGCTTGTAATTCAAATGTCAGTCAGTCAGTCGGTTCTTCGTTGGCTCAGTCGGCACGTCAATGTGGGCCAAAGTTGCTGCCAACAGCTCCCCCAACCACTTGAGCCTTGGCAACACAGAGTCTCTGGTTGCTTTCCCCTTACCCTTACCCTTTACCTTTTACCTTTGCCATCTTAACCATCTTTACCATCTCCACATTCAGGATCTGGATCTCCCAGACAGGTGTTGTCTCATTTGTACCATTGCATGTGCGTGTGCGGTCTCCTAGTTTTTCCTCGACTTTTCCGTCTATCCAGTTTGCGGCTAGCAGGTTGAAACCGTATGCTGTTCGGAGCTCTCTTACGTTTGCCTTGCGTGAGCCTGGGAAAAATAAATTATTTATTGAACTCGGTTCGTCAGGCACACGAAAATACCAAACACAATAAACTACATACATGGATAAATTGATTCTTGTTTAGTTTCTGGGTAATCAACTGAAATCTTTTGCAGCCATCGATCAAAGAGCAGAAAGCACTTTGCAAAAGTTGCATTTGAAACTCTATGGAAAATACTTTTGGCCAGTTATTTAAATTATTTGTTTATTTAAAATAGTATATATATTTTAAAGCTGTATTGAAAAGAAAGTGTCATTAAATGTTATTTTAAATCAACTGAACAACAACTTAAAGATTTTTAAACTCATTTATTCTTTCTTTCTTCTTTTTGCAGGTGAAAAACTTTAGCAGACCACGAAAAAATCAGACAGCTAATAGTTTTATATCACGGTTTGTTTGAAAGAATCAGGGACCGTAAATAAAAGTTGTTTGTGATTTTTATTTGGTAGGACTGCGATTTCTATCTTTAAACGTCAGACATAACGCTCTATTTACTCTTGTCCACAGCGAATAAATAATTCAGCAAATTGGGAAAACAAATACACGTTTGATTACTCTTGTATACAAAGGGTACAAAAATTGGGTAATTGGTTAAAAAATAAATTTAAAATCCTATGGACCTTTTAAAAAAAACTCCAGCAACCACAAATATTCATTATACCCGGTACTCGCAGACTAAAAGGGTATATTAGATTCATCGGAAAGTATCAAACAGGTAGAAGGAAAAGTTTCCAACCCTATATATATTCTTGATCAGGATACCTAGCCGATGCGATCTGGGCATGTCCGTCTATCCGTATGAACGCTGAGATCTTGGAAATTATAAGAGCTAGAATGTTTCGAATAAGCAGGTAGATTCTTGAGCTTCCCGCGCAGCAGAAATTTTTTTTCATCGGAGTATCACGCCCATAACGCAAAATCTGTCTGTCTTGCACCCCCATTTTGTAATAATCTGTAAAAGTGAAAGTGGGATTTGGTTCTTATTATCAATACCCATCTACATGGTTTAAATTAGACCACTCATTAAAAAGTTATAATCAAATAAAGGGATAGACGCTAGGTGGCGTGTTGGTGTGGTGTGTTATTTTTGAAACAGCCGATTTGCTGCATGCATATCTCCATCTCCCTCGCACTTCCTTCAGCTGAGTAATGGTTATCTCATAGTCGAGGCGATCGACTATAGGGTTTTCTCTTGTTTTTATTTTGTGCAAAAGTTCTTGTAAATATTTTTTAAAAGAAATGCCTCGCTTACAGTTCAATTTATTTTTTTATTTTCTACGACTATCTTAGTGTTAAATATTTCAAAGGTTTTAAGGCATATTAATTTGGACAGCTTTAAGGCTTTAAACACAGCCACATGGAAAATGAAAAATTCACACTTTTATTTTGTGCTTTATGTCTTTCTAAATATGTTGCAGAAACGACTGGCTTAAACTTTATTGCCCATTTTTATATTTTTTGGCACAGGGTTAACTCAGGGTAAATATTTCAAAGGTTTTTGGGGCATATTAACTTAATAGAGCGGCTTTGAGGCTGCAAACTCAGCCGCATGCAAACACTCTTAAATATTTACCGCACTAGTTTTTGACTTTCCATCACGAGTGAATTCATGGCGTTGTCAACTGGCTAAAATATTCGCCGGCATTGTGGCGTCCTGCCATTGTTCGTCCGATTCGTCCTTGCGTATTTGCACGCCGCCGGCTGAAGTTCGCACTCCGCACGCAGGACTCTTGGACTAAAGGACTCCAGGACTTGGGGACTCCACAACTCACGGCTTATGAATTTCGGGCCTTAGGAGCATCAGCATCAGTTCCAACTTGGCGCGAATAAATTTCATGAGCTGGCCAGAACTGGAGACTGGCGAAGGGGGAGGGGTGGGAAGGTCGTGGTATCTCGGTGCCATAAAACGCTGGCTAAGTGTAGCTCAAAACGGGTTAAATTGCAATTACGTGCCGGCCACTTGCCCCAGAGCATTACTGGGCCGCAACATGTTGATTGTCTGGGCGCCGGAAGGGTTGAGCCGAGGTCGCCTGGTGGTTGACTGGGTGGTCCTGGTCCTGGCCTGGCTGCACCTAACTACGTGTTTTCTACCTTGGACTCTGACTGGGCATAAATTCAGCTGGAACCAGAGGAGCAGGATGGCCGGAGACGTGCCGGTTATCTACGACCCTGCTGCGTCTGCGGGTCTACAAAGTTTTTAATTAAAAAATGCAGCCAAGTATTTTTTGTAATTTTTTGTATTTCTGTTTTGCCTGCGACGCCAAATTGAAAGGAAGCGTAAATAGGCGTATATACATATTCGTAAAATCGATTCCTATTGCCAAATCAATCTGCATATTAACAAAAGTGCACATCTCATTCCTCTCTTCCCGATCCTGATAAATATGTACATAACTTAGGAGGAGCTTGCCCAGCCTGTTCCTGTCGTTTCTCTGTGCGAAAGTTTTTGGTCACGGCTCTTGCACTTTGGCAGCTTTTTTAGGCAGCCTTCGACTTGCCGTCCCCCAAAGGGAAAATTGAAAAACTAATTTTCAACAACAAAATCAAAGCAAAAAGCATCTGTGAAAGGAAAAATTCGGTTTGCATAAAATTACCATAACACAATTTCGATAATTTCCACAAACTACGCAGTTGACAGGGCGAGGCGGATGCGGATGAAACTTGAGTCGAGTTGAGCTGCAACTTGACTCGACTTGACTACTGCCTGACATTTCCTCCGAGGAGTCATGAAGGTCCTGCTGCCGCCGGGAAAACAGTGTGAGTAGAGCAACAACGTGTTAACAAGTATTTGCCCTGGCTTGACAATTTTTGGCACCTAGTGGAAGTCAGTGTGACAGCGGCAGCGACGGTGACAGCGTGAGGGGCCATCAATCATGGTCCACCATCGTGGGGCCTGACATGCGGGTTAAGACCACGTTAAACCGTAGTGGGTTCAAGGCTGACGACGTGACGTGAAGGTCAAACTGAGATTTATGAGGGGATTTACTGCAAACCGGAATAACTTTAAATTAACGTATTCATCTAAAGAGATTTATATGTAATTTAAAAACAATATATTCTTTCAGTTATGTTAAAATATTCATAAGAATCCCACAGGCAAGAGGGACAAGCGTCTATGGGATTACCCTACACTCAGAAAAATTGAGATCGGAAAAAAGTCAAGATCAAACCTTCTCTGCAATTTGACTTCATACTTTTTCGAGAAGAAGAATTCTTGATACTAAGACGAGCATGTTTTGTGAGATGCAGCGACCTTGAAATAGAGATCGAAAGACCAGTTTTGACATCGTTTATTTTCCTGAGTATTTTCCCAACCTGAGTATCTATAATCATATAAACCTAAAGAATTAATATCCTATAATTATAATCTAGAAAAATCAAATACTTTAATCATAAAATATGTTTATAAAACTAGGCTAGATGAGAAACACAAAATAATTTTTTAACTATTTAATTTATCTTTGGAAATTAAAACAGATCTAAGCACTTAGAATATTTAGATAAATTTAAAAGAAATAAAATAGAAAAAAATGTTTCAAATTTTTTATTCTCTAAACATCTTTTACACAAAAAAAACATAGGAACTAGAATTATGTTACATGAACTCTTAACTATGGAGGATAAAATTTATCCGAATAAGATGAGTATTAATTTAGAGCACCCAAAATATGCTCAATCTTTCTCCTAGCCTGTCAGTCTCAGCTCAAATTAGGAAAAAATTATAAAACTAATGGTTGCAGAATGACCCTTTTTTTTGGTTTAACTAGTGTTAGGTGTCTATATCAGAAACACATTAAAGTGTCCCAAAATAACAGTTTTTACCGGTGTCAAAAAAGCTTACGCCCATTATGTGAGCAATGCTTTTTAGAAACTCCAATTTGCTTATATCGCTTTAAAATTTAATCATCTTAACGAAAATAGCATATAACGCTATAGTCGAGTACTTTGACTATCAGATACCCGTTACTTAGCTAAAGGGACCAAAGGGAAGTGGAGATATGCAAGCAGCAAAGCGAGATTGAAATGCGCCACCTACCCGTGATCTCAATATGTGGTTATGTGGGCGGTAGACAGATTTAAGCGTTATGCACGTTAGAGTGGGCGTGACAAATTTTTTTTGGAACAACCGATAGGTATTGACGATACCAATACATTTCAGTTAAAATTTTGTATCTAGCATGAAAATAATGGGCGTCACAGGTTTGGGCGGTTCGTGGACGCCCATGTTAGATACAAATTTTTAGCTAAAATGTATTGGTCTTGTCAATCGATTGATCCAAAAAAAATTTGCCACGCCCACTCTAACGCCCATAACGTTTAAATATGTCTACCGCCGGTAGGTGGCTCATTTTAATCTCGCTTTGCTGCTTGCATATCTCCATTTCCCTTTGGTCCCTTTAGCTAAGTAACGGGTATCTGATAGTCGAAGTACTCAACTATAGCGTTCTTCCTTGTTCTAGCATGAAAACTGTGGCCGCCATAGTGGGCGTGGCACGTTCGCGTAACCAATTTACGCTGCGTACAAAGCAAAGGAACCTAAATCTAAAATTCAAGTTGTCTTGCTTTAATAGTTTAAAAAAATATATAAGCGTTCGATAGGTATTGACTAGAACTATGCATTTTAGTTTAAATTTTGATTCTACCAATAAAACTGCAACAAACTTGCGTGGCATACGAAAATACGGAATCTAAGTCTGATATCGCAACTCTCTAGCTCTTTAAGTTTCCTAGATCACAGCGATCACACGGACAGACGATCAGACGGCTAGATGGACCGGCTAGTGATGGTGGTCAAGAATGTATACACTTTATAGGGTCGGAGACGCTTCCTTCTACCTGGCACATATTTTTCCCCCCATATACCCTTTTTGCTCTACGAGTAAGCGTTATAAATATCCATCAAAATGTTTTAAGCCAAAAGGGTAGAGTAGAGTAAAAGGGTATACTAGATTCGTCAGGAAGTATGTAACAGGCAGAAGGAAGCGTTTTCGACCCCATAAAGTACATATATTCCTGATCAGGATCACTAGCCGATTCTTTTTAGCCATGTCCGTCTATCCGTCTGTCCGTCTGTCCGTATGAAAGCTGAGATTTCTGAGATCTCGGAAACTATAAGAGCTAGGCTATTGGAATTTGGCATGCAGATTCCTGAGCTTCTTGCGCAGAGCAAGTTTGTTTGTCACGCCCACTTTAACGCCCACAAACCGCCCACAAACTTCAAAAAATCGTAAGTTTGAACGCGAAAAGATCTCGGGAACTATCAAAGATAGAAAATTGGGATTTCAGATTTAGATTCCGTAGCTGTGTATGCAGCGCTAGTTTGTTACGCGAATATGCCATGCCCTCTCTAACGCACACAATCCGCTCAAACATGTGGCGACCGCAATTTTCATGCTAGATAAAAAATTTTAACTGAAATGTATTAGTCTCGTCAATACCTATCGATTGCCACGCCCACTCTAACGCCCATAACGCTTAAATCTGTATACCGCCGGTAGGTGGCGCATTTTAATCTCGCTTTGCTGCTTGCATATCTCTATTTAGCTGAGTAACGGGTATCTGATAGTCGAGGTACTCGACTATAGCGTTCTTCCTTGTTTTTTTGATCATTTGTATGGAAGCTTTTGAATATAGAGATCCAGTCCGACTCGTTCCGACTATTACAAGTATACTACCTGAAAAGAGTTAAGACTTTTGGAAATGTTTTTTTTTTAACTTTAAAGCTGAGAGACTAGTTTGCGTACAAACGGGCAGACGGTGGGATAGACGGACGGACAAACGGATTGACGGACAGACAGATGGATAGACAATGGTCAGATCGACTTGTCTAGTGATTTTTATCAAAATATATATACTTTATGGGGTCGATAACGTCTCTTTAACTACGTTGCAAACTTCTAACTGAAATAATTATACCCTCTGCAAGTGTATAAAAAACTAAATTTCTTTTTGAATTTTGAACTATATAGCCCAAAAGATTCTTTAGCTTTTATATGATTCAAAAACATCTCTTAAAGTTTAAAACCTAGTGGCGATCGCATCTGAAGCGTACAAAAGTTACCAAACCAACTTTTTTGACGAAAATTTTTTGTAAATTCGACTAAATAAATTCAGTATCTTAAATTTAAACTTAAAGAAGAAACGCTACCGGTATCGGTACTACTGACATTGCCAAAGCCAGTTTTACTTAGTTTAAAATAACAATGGGATTAAAACAACTCTCACCATTTAGGCAGGTATTGACCAATAAAATTAATTTCAATTTAAACTGAAAAAAAATCTTCAAAAATGTGTGCTCAAAAAGACCTTAGAGTTATGGGTGTTTCGCGCTGCCCCTAGAATCTGTATGCTTAATCCGAATATTTTAGCTTTTATAGTTATGATATCTAAGCGTTCATACGGACCAATAGACAGATGGTCAGACGAAAATGGCTAGATCCACTCGACTAGTAATCCTGATCAAAAATATATATATACATTTTAGGGTCGGAAGCGCTTCCTTCTGCCTGTTACATACTTTCCCACGAATACAATATACCCTTTTACTCTACCAGTAACGGGTATAAAAATGACGCATGTTTGTTTTGCTCAGTTTAGATCGTCCTTTAAAATGTTTTTACAATGTGAAGCAAAGCTTGCGGAAAAAGATTTAAGAAAACTAAGAGAAAAACAAGAAAAATGAACTGTCGTGCAGGACAGGACACTAATCACAAACTTTTAGAAAATAAACATTATTATTACACATCGTCCGTATATACTCGTATTTTGTGGCAGCCAACCGCCCGTGCAGGGAGTCACAATCTTTCGGATTTATTCGCTTTATCTCGGGTATCATCACACCTCACTGATATGTCACACCATATCACATTATATCGTGGGCGTATCTGCAGCCCAAGTGTTTATCCAAGAAGATGTCGTTGTGTTTTTTGTGCGAAGAGCGACGGCGAAGACTGAAAACCACAGGGCTGACAAACTTTAGCTTATGCACAATTCAGATTGCATTGTCAGCAATTTTTCCATTTTTGACTTTTTCCACATGCCAACTTTTCTACGAGCTATTGTTTTTCAACCATTCTTTCTGTTTTTTCTGCCTTACGCGTTTCTCCCGCACCACGCAGACATGACAAATGATGTCAGCGCTCGTGCATAGTTTTCCGGAAAGGAAAGCAGGAACTGGAGAAAGGGAAAGGGGGGGGGATTTCGAGTACGGCGGAAAGGGGTCCTGACAGTGTTGAAAAATGTACGCTACAAAATCAACACAAACATTTGCAGCGGCACCAAGTTGGCCGCACTCGGGCGTGACATGTCTCGCTAAAAGTTTTTCCAATGCAAAGAATCCCAGTGGAAAAGTCCGGACTTAAGGGTGAAACTTTGGAATCCATATGAGAGGGCATTGATTATCATAATTGAAATAAGCTGAGCTCAGAAAGTCAAATACCAACTAATGTGGGAAGTCAAAGGGATCAGTATGAAAGGGCAAACATTGAGGGAAACACTTAATCCTGAAAGGCTTTGGGCGCAGAGCAATAAAATTTTTTTCTTGTATTCTAACAGAAATTTGGGCATTTATTTAAAGAGCGCCTTGGCTTAATTTTAAAGTGAGATTCAAATTTGTGAAACTAATTTTTTATGTGCGAAGGCTTTAAGGCCTTATGACATTTGCTTTATTTTTCTCTAACTGAAAAAAGCCTAGCCAAAAATGTATGAATTTTATATATAAAATAATTTTTAGATTTCCATAACTTCTAAATTAAAACCTGCCAGTCAAAAATCAAGCAAGTGTCATAAGGCTATTAATACTGTTTTGACTTCTTATGAATCCTAGCATTTTATGGCAATGTAGGGTGAGAGAACCTACGGCAAGGAACTCCTACCGAATTTTAATGAACTTTCGGTTGAAAGGCATTGCTGTAGCCATCAATTCTGGCAAATAACTTAAGATAAGTGGAAAGGTGCTTTTAG